TGTTTTAAATATGTTTCACACCCTGTATTCCTTTGGATATACCTTAAAGATATGCTCTGCGGCTTCATTTTCAACTGTCATATAAATATGATCAGTATAAATGTGAGCTTCCATTTATTTTTGTTTTGATTTTGTAGTATTTCGAAGTCCTGTGTAGTATGGTTATTTGATTGGATTAGGTTGCTTCTTTCATTTGATGGGTTTGGTGTTTTGTGATAATCCAATGCATTTAAGTAGTCTAAGTAAGTGGCAATGACTTCTGTTTGTTTTCATCAGTATTTGGCAAAATCAGACATGTAAATGGCGTGGATTCAACATGCAAACATTGTTGAATTTAAGGAGGCGTGGGTAGAGCAAGTGAGGTGAGCAATAGTGAAATTATATTCTATCAAGTAAAGGGTTCAAGGGCGATCATGTTGTTTCTAAATTGGTGGTAGTAGATTGTAATGCAGGATTGCTATTTTAATATTTTTATTGGGTATTGTTAAGGTGGAGACATGTAGGCGTTACAATATTTCCCAATTTCACAAATCTTAATATGTGGAACTATGTGTTGATGAATATCCTTGGAATAGGGTTAGATGATGAAAACATCAAACAACCAATATTTGTTGGAGATAATTTTTCACTATTGTGAGAACTTATCTTCATGGTGTCTAATATGTCCAATTTGTCTAATTAATGGTGTCTACTACTATTTTCTTAGGCGTTTCCAATTTTTTTTGTAGTTTTGTAGGTTGTTTCTAATTAACCCACTCATGCTATTGTCAAACTCACCAGTAGTTTTTTTCTTGGTGATTTTAACCATCTCATAATTAAGTATGTTTCTATCAAAATTTAATATTGGGTTTTATCAAGTGTTGATTTTAATTCGAATATTATTTTAAAGCTCCATCACTTTGAAATTGAATTCTTAAGTTGTATTAAATTCTATCTAATTATGCTTATATTAAAACTAGTTGTTGCACTTGTGCATTACACGTCGCCTATTTTGAGAATCAAATATTCTTTATTATTATCAAATATTTCAAATTCTAGACCTTTCATAAAATAAATAGTCCTATATCAAAACATTGGAGAAAAATACGTGTTTGTTTTTTTATATACAGTTTCTTGACTCTTTAAGAGTCCCTACATCAAATAAAATGATTGTTCCTTAACTATTATCTTGGTCGAGAGTTAGAAGTCTATTAGTTTCAGCCATTGATCACCATCATAAATTTTTGCTAAAACTACTTAATAACTTAATTTTTCACAGTAGAAAATTTAGCATTAATATATTGGGCCATCAAATATTACCCCTACCAAACCCATCTCAAATTACAAACACACATGTGACCTATTAGCTATACTTGCTCAAGTGCAAAAAATTAAGATCCGTCCAAACATATGAACAATTGACATCATTACAATAATAATGAGAGAAAACGTTGCCTCCAACCAGCTAAGAAATGTGAACTCTTCAATCAAATCATGGTCATACAACCTTCACATTTTAAGTATGATAATATGATTCATAGTAAATTACTTCTCTTATATGATGTCCCACCTAATGACACAACATAAATAGAAATATAAAAATGGGATGGATATTAGTACTATACCTGAACAAGTATGATATTTAATTACTCCCTGGATAGGTGAGCGGTGTTCATATTTTGTTTCTTCTCTTCTACGAAGCAAAGTCAAGATAGTAATTAAAAAAAAGAGAAAGCTTATACCTTGTCAAACAAATAAAAAAGGAAGCATCAAAACAAATACCATTTTCACCCTTCTCCATGTCAAGGTGTAGCTAAGAGGCTGCCCTTTGAGATTCACAGTCAGCATAAGAGCATCTTGTGCAACTTTTTTCATTGCATTGTAATTATTTGTGTTAAGATAGTATATGCCAAGAAACAAAATTTACCAAATTAGCTATTGTCAACAAAACAAAAGTTTGAATCATCAAATCCTCTAAATGAATACAAGATTAACACCATCAAAAATACTTTTGAACTATAACTATGGGCAATTTTACGTCATATGTAAACAAACAAGTTGCCTCCTAAAGTATACTACTAAATTACTTTAATTTGTTTTCTATCAAGCAAAGCTATCAGATCATCTTTCTTAATAGCCTCCCAGACAGCGATACTTTACAAAGTGAACAAAAATTACAGTGAATTTTATGAGTTGATTTTAATGAAAACTCTGTCTCACGCGATATATAAATCCAAGAAGCAAATCCACACTGCACCTAAATTTTTCTTTCATCATTTTGGCTATATGTATAATTCATATACTTAACGTCTTTTAAGTACTTCCATCACATAGTAGTTACACCTTAAGTGATATTATAACACAATAAATCTGTGTTTCCCTGCAACAACATATTGGGGTTAGTTAGCATAATAGACATGAAAAAATAACAATCCCAAAAGCACTCTAAAGTACCATGGAAATAATAGGAGAAGACCCTTCATATTGAAGGGGATTTACAATTACAAGAGTTAAAGCACGAATTGAATACACCAAAGTTTACACAGGGAGAATTATTTCGGAAGTGCGAGAGATTCTAGAACTTTGGAAGAAGTGCAACCAATTGGACTTCCTCTTGATCATTCCCATCGGATAGCTATGTATTTGATTGGAATTTACTGGTTGCATTTACATCTGGCTTATTGATATGCAGTTGTTAAAGTGTAAAACTTGAACTTTCAACAATTATCAATTACAAGGTATAAAATGATATATACTAGTCTTTAAAGAGTAATGTAAGAATTTTAAATTTTGAAAATCTTACAAATAGATAAAAGTGAATAAACAAAATTAAAGGTCAAGAGTCTTTACCCTAGAAATGGAAGAGTCTAAGAGTTAAATATAAGATGATATGACATGTTTGACATTATAGAATTCTTAAAGGGCAAATAAGGAAATTGAAAGTTTTTCACCTTAAGTCACTTTTAGAAGTAGTATAGATATAAATTACACGACGAGTGTTATTCATTTTCAAGGTTTGTTATTATTGAAATTTAAACGGTGTGGCTGACACCAATTATATTTAGGGATAATGTTTAAATGTTACAATTATTTTTATGATGTTAGTATTTTACAATGGGGTGGGACTCTGAGTTGCAGTTTTTTTTTGTTTTTTTTGTGGTTTCTATCATATTTCGTGTTTTATGAGAGATATATCATTACAATGTCTTTATGTTATGTTTCAGTGGGGCATCAACAGTTTTCGATGAATATAAATTGTGGCAAATGAACGACCCATTGTGTGGGGGTTCAACTTTTTGTTTTGATTTTGTGTTGCTAAGACTATAAATTATGCATACAAGTTAATATTTTTTTGAGTCTTGATTTCAGAGAATTTTTGTCGAGGTTTTCTTTTAAGAATAGTGAACCTAGATTGATTTTAAATTATGTAATTTTTAAAAAAGAAAATATTTTAATAATAATTTCTATTAAATATTAAAGATTTTTTGTGTTACATGGTATTTCCAGACACGGCGGTTAACTAATTAATCAGATTTGAGTCAAATTCAAATCACAATTCAATCCATTGACCTATCAAAAAGGAATGAAGTAAATATGCTTAGAATAGTCAATAGGATAGTTCTAAGACTTGAATTTAGTTATGGCATCCGGGAAGAATTTCTTGGACCAACTGCGATAACTCCTTCAAATTATAATAATGAAAAATTATTGGATAAATTACATCTATCTTCCCTGAGATGTGGTCAAATAGCAATTGAACCCCCTCTTCTTTGAAAAATAAACACTGACTTCCCTTCTACTATAGTTGTCTATAATAGATTCTCCCTATTGTTAATGTGCCGTTAGAGGGACGTCTATAATTTAATGATGTAAGCAACCTAATTTTTATAAATATCAATATTACCCTTATTTAGATTGTAGACAAGCTAAACACATTGTCAAACATGCCATATTCATATTATTATTTTTCAAACAAACACCTATTAAAATTGAATATGTTATTCCATGATTGTCCGTGTCTTAAGACACTATGCAAACAAATACATTTCTAAAAAGAGGGGGTCCAATTTCATTTGACTTTCGTAGACATTAACCTCATGTTTTTTATTTATTCTTAACCCTTAACTTTGGCAGTTTGCATTTGACAACTCTAGGATGAAGCAAGATGCCTATATGAGCTAACAAATTTCAGTGATCGAGGTTATGAGGATGAAGAGAGACCAATTGTGTCAAAATTTATTGGTTAGAATTATGAAGTAATTTGGTGTGTTATATGTTTTGGAATTATCATTTTTTTTTCTTGAGTTTGTTGTACTAAGAGAGAGAGAGACTTAGGATTATAAATAAATGGTTTTCTTAATTCTTTTTCATCGCGTCAACCGGACATGAACTATGTATTTCATATATCATAAATGTCGCGTTTTATTAAATTGTGTTATAAGCAAGTGGTGTTAATTTTAGGTCATTCGACAAAATTAATTAAATTGGTTGTGTTTAGAATAAAGAATTTTTCACATGAATTTGAAATAATATTTATATAATAAAACAGGAATATGTTTGAATTTTATCTCAGTTATATTTTTTTCCTTAAAACCATCATTAATCACTTACATCACTCATCATCTCCTTTATCAAACTCAAACGTCAAGTCACATCACTCATTTCAATCACATGTTTAATCATTTATATATTTTTTTCCTTAAAATATTACACCACCCATTTATATGATCTGTTTAATCATTTAATATTTAATTAATTTATAGTTAATATATTTTGAAAAAATTTAATATAATGGAATCGATTTTTTGAACACTCGAATTTTATATTTATCATGCCTTCAGACACGAGTTATGAATAATTAAATAATATAACAAGACATAATTTAAAATAATATAAAATAATATAACATGACACAATTTGATTCCGACTCTACTTATTGACTTCCAGCACGGATTCACGAGCTTGCTTATGGACCTGAATTGTTTTCAGTCAATCGTACTCTTCCTGGTCGTTAAATGCTACCCGACCTGAATTGAACCCCAATTCGTTTTCATACCAGATAATATTATGCCTTGGTTGTGAGAGTGGTTGTGAGAGTGACCCAGAATTGTAATTGAGCACCATCAATTATTACTTGCAAAACCCCTTGAAGCTTCTGCCATTAATGATCAATGGCTTCTTCTTCATCTTCCAAGTATTTATATCCACCGGAGGACTTCGATGTCACAGACTTTGTCACCATCAAGCTCTCTGACACAAACTACAAAACCTGGAAAGCCATAATGCTTCGCTTAATTGGGACTCAAGGTCTGCTTGGGTTCATCAATGGCGAAATATCACCACCTCCTGCAGAGAGGATTACAGTACCTGATGGGAGCGATGGCACAAGGGAGAAAGAGAATATGGAGTACAAGGAATGGGAAAGATCAGATGGGCTGTTGAGAGGTTGGATCTTAGCAACACTCAGCCAAGATCTCTTACCTCAAGTGTCCATGTTGAAAACTGCCCAAGATGTGTGGTTGACACTAGCAAAAGCCTTAAATCAGCCTGTCTTGGATGAAACTAAAACCGGTAAGGGAACTCTCTCTGTATACTATCTATTTGCTTCTAGTAATGTTGAATTTGATAGCAACACTACTACACTACTGGGAAAGGGTAAGGGTAAGGGAACTATCTTGTTTAAGCTCACAGTTGTAAAAAGTTACGAGGATTTGAGTTGAACTCGAGCCGAAGTCGACATCAATTGCTAATGAAAATTTCTTTCCTTCTCCTTTTTTAATTTCTACCAATTATTTTTTAAAATAAAAATAATAACATGTGTACATTATGGTATATAAACCACAAATTAAATTGAGTCACAAACTAAGAAAAAATTAAATGATTCAACTTACAATAGAAATGATTGATGTATGAAGATAAATTTCAGATGCCTAACTCTCGTATTATGATAGGGGGTGGACACTAAGCCAAACTTAATCGTCTCCAAGGACCCAAATCTCTCCTATCACCTCACCAACCTTAAAAACACTAATCAGCCCTTCGCTTGGATGGGCCGGAAGACCATCATCAACCTCACTATACCTTGCATCAGTCCATCTCTTTCTCATACCAGCTGTCATCTTTTGCCCTATAGAGTTATGTAAGTTTCTTGAGCTTTGATGATTTGTTGTGGAAAATAATGGCAACGTATTGCTTGCTGGAAATTGGTTATTTTAATTGGAATTGAACTGAATCTTAATTTAGAACTGGATTAGAATGTGGAAACTTTCAGTGGATTTGATGGCTGGGAATGTGGTTGTGGGTGGGTGTTATATAGTCAAGGGATGACATGAATTTCAAACCTGTTGGGTGTGTGGTTATAGTTTACCAAAAACAAATTGTTGCTATATATGCTTTTTATTTATGTATACTCATATGGTATTGTCTTTAATTTTTCATCATCAAATCTCACCATCTAAATCGATTACTGTCTCTGGTAGCTTAATTTGAAGCGCGTATTAAAAAATGCATGAGAATCATAGCCTGTAATGCATGAAGTCGATAAAAAATAACCCATAAAATATATCAATACTCTTTCCCTAAAGAAATCAAAGACAAGTTGTCTATCTCCATGAGCTAGGGGCAGAGCCAGAAATTCCGTCTAGAGTGGGCACATTGCTTAGATACTTCAATTTTTTTTCTCTCAATTAATAAAAATAAAATAATATATTGAAATTTATTGCATTGTATTTGATACTTATAGATTTATAAGATACAAAAAATGTTAAAACGTCGATAAATATAACATATACAAATAAAAAAAATTAAAAAAAAAAAGCTAATTACAACCCTTCACAACAAATGAGACTAACTGCGTTAAAGATAATAGTCTTTCTCTATATAACCAATTAAACTATTAGCCATGGATCCCTCATTCAGTTATGCAACCTAGTTTTCATTTTCTTGATAGCTCAAAAAATGAGTCACACATGTCAAAAATTTATCTAAATATATTTGTGAAGTATCTAAATGCATCCAAAAAAATTTATAGTTATTTAGTTATGTGGCTATACTAATTAATAGAACAAAAAATGATAGAGTGGTCACACTTAAATATACTTACAATTATTTGAAACATACAAAAAACAAATTCAGGGTGCCTTGACCCTTGCTGCCTTTGGTTCTATGATCCTGACTTTGGGTCCGGGGTTTTAGGTTTGGGGAAATAGAAGCAATTCAAAGTTATGTTTGAGCGAACATTTTTTTTTTTTGTTCATATGTGATTGATGACAGGGGCAAACAGAGCGTGTAGCAAAAATCTTGCCCATTACCTGCCTCTGTACGAAGCTGCACTCCAAGGTGACTGGGAGACAGCCAGCACAATTTTGGAACAAGATCCAAAAGCTTTCAAGGCAATAATCACAGGAGCCTCAGAAAGGGCTTTGTTTGTGGCGATTAGATCACCGAGGAAAAACCATTTTCTAACGAAGCTGGTGGAGCATATGTCAGCAACGGATCTGGCTTTCGTTGACGAAGATGGCTCAACAGCTCTTCATATAGCTGCAATAGCTGGCAACATCGAGGCAGCCAAGTTGCTAGTGAATAAGAACTCCGACCTGCCTAATATTTTGGACAATAGTAACTCACTACCTCTCCATTCAGCTGCAGTTTGCGGCCAACGGGAGATGTTTCTCTACTTAATGACAGTTACCAATGCAAACATGGAGCCAAAACCATTCGAGGATGAATCAGGTGTTAGACTACTTCGTGCCCTGATAACTTACGGATATTATGGTGAGTAGAAGGTTTTAAACACTAAATGAAGAATAATACATATAAGAAAACCAGCATGATTTCATCATTTTTTGGCTATTATATATTTAATACTAATTAAAAAACATTTAATGTGCCAGAAAGAAAGCTAATATGGTGATTGATTTCTCATTAATCTAACTGTCTTTCCTATCAATGTTACAGACCTGGCTTTCACTTTGGTTAAGTGCTGCCCCAAGTTGGCATGTTGGGATCCATCCCCTTTGCAATCAATTACAGAAAGACATTATGATTTCCAAAGTGGAGCACGCTTAAAACACTGGCAAAGATTGATCTACAAATGTTAGTCTTTTCAATCTTTTTCCTCTTTTGTGTTTCTTATTATGCAAATATTTCTTCTTTGAACACTGTTTGCATATTAACTTCTGTACCTTTTTTTTGGTCACATCCTAAATTTTCAAAGAATGATTTGATGTTGTGTATAATTCTATCTAATATATACCAGTTCTCAATGTCCAAACCTGGTTAAATCTGATTATCAATAATGACTGATGGCTCTCCCATTATCTGCAAGATAGAAACTGATCAAACGGATGGCAGGGCTCACCAGTAATGGGTATTTTGACGTGCATTCCTGGCATCCTGCCCTCCATTCACTCTCTAATCCAGCTCAGTAAATTGTTAGCTAGAGGAAGTGATTGCTGGTTCTTCTATTTACAGCGCAACTTGCACTGGTGGATCACAAACCTGGGAGAGTTTTTTGATTGTTGGCTCCCATGTTTTAGCAGGAGCAAATAAGGTCCTAGAAATGTTTTTCAGATTTTTAGAGGGCCTGGGTTGATTTGAGAGAGCCATCTCGCTGATGATGTGTTTTGATTTTATAGGAAAAAAATGACAATTTGTCTTTCACAGATATTGTCAAATTGTTGATGTTAAAAACTAGTTAGACCTAATGATTGGTAATGGTTGATGACTCTCACATGATCGGCAAGACAGAAACTGGTCAAAGGAGTGCTGAGGCTCGTCATTATGAGCCGATAAAGACTCACTGATACTTAATTCAGTAAAAGAAACTGATATTCTAAAGAGGAACAGTAGGGTCCGAAGGCTGAATAACAAGCGCCGTATTGCATTCCTTAGCTATGAAGGTTCATCCCCTTAATATAATGGATGCCCAATGAAGCAGGCGAGACTATACGAGGTGTTGGATTTCATGGGATGCTCCTGTTCATTATGTTTCATTTTGGATTTGCCTTTGTAGTGACTTCCTTTCTTGGAGAATTCTGGGTTATCTCTAATGCATGCACCTTCTTATTAGATTTACACTGGAATCCTGCTCGTGTCTCTCTATCTTGTATTGTGCTAACAGACGAGGTGAGGTGAGCTGGAATTTTAAGTAAGGAGATGAGGAGGCAGCTACCTAATGGTCAGATTACCACATTTATGTCCTCTAGTCATAAGGGGAAATTTCTATTCTCTGCCACCACGACATGCAACCTCGAATATTCAAACACTTTGAAAGGATGACTACTAATATGCGATTTTGGCCTTTAATATGTAACATCACCAGTATGTTACACCAATTGTAGGGGATTTCTTCCTCCAACAGATTCTGGTTTTCATTTGACCTCTACAAACTGGCACCACCCAGCTGAATTAATCAGAAACAAAAGGTATCATCTAGTAAAAAATTGTATGGCAACTCCTAAATAAAGGTACTATGTCTACATTACACAGGTATGAGATGCAAGGCTTAAGCAAATACACAGATCAAAGTCTGCTTCTATAACTTCTAACCACTCCTCTATCTCTCAGTTCACGAAGCATGCAAGAGTTGATGCTTCCTGTAGCCCCATGTCCCACTTTTATTTATCTTGAGTGTCAGACATCCTTATCCTGCCAGTATATCAGTATCTCTGGCCGGTTCAGCGATCTGCTTTTCTTTTCTCAAATTTGATTGCTTTGTAGTCATACTCATACACATGTCCTCCTTGTGATTTAGTTTTGGCATCAACAATGGAAATATTATTAACAAGACTGTATAAATTTGTACTGGACTGAGTAGTTTGTGTTTGAAAGAGCATTAGACTAACCTTTTATTTTGTGACCTTCGTTTGTATAAGCATACTTACATTAACATTTTCTTCGGTCATATAGGTGTTCCTGCACAGTTGGAAAACCTTGCGGACCAACATAGTGGAGGGGACATAGAGAATCCCTTCCATGGCTTCATTTTGGGTTCGTCAAAGTTCAATCCATGTAATTTTTCTTTCCTTATGCTTTTCCTTCTCCTTAATCATTACATTCTTATTTTCCCTACTTTTTTTTAGAATTAAAGAAGGCATATAGGTATGGATCTCGCACTATATCTGTTGGACCCAATCTTTGATGCAATTACGTATTACTAAATTTAGTTCTAAAAGCCACATGCTTAAAGAATACATATCATACAAATAATCATCAAGTCGGAGGGATTGGATTTATGGAAATCAAGTAAAGGCTGGTTGATGGCAATTTGACATCATTCAAAACACGAACACTCAATACATGTGACTTGTTGCCCAACAAATAAGAAAGTAGAGAATATCAGATAGTTTGTGTTGGATTTGTGCAGCGATTAATCACCATTGATACCATTTGTTGGGAGATAGGAAAAACAGTAGAAAGAAACAAAAGGATATATGTAGTTAGATACAATTTATTTGTTGATAGAGTTATATATTAAAAACTTACTTTTTGTAATGAAACTAAATTTATTATTTACTATAATTTCTTTGTTTCCTATTTTAATGAGAATCTGTGTGGATAAAATATTTATATTATATTAAATATATGAAGTGCATGTATGTCTTTTATTTTACATTATAGATAATCTGGTGTGTAGAGTTCGACTTATACACAGAAGATCAGATTATTAGATTCTTGTCTAATGTAAGTAAATGTTCACAGTCTTAGATAGAATTGGACATACCATCAGTAGGATTGTAGTGCAATCTTTTGGCATAGTCTATCTTGGCTATAGGAGACTGTCTGATGTCTTGGATTGTTGTACTATTACACTTTGTATATTGGGTCGGATCATTATTGAGGTTATTTTCTTTTTACTAACTAAATAAGAAAATAAATACCTCATGGTCATTATGATTGCTTAAGCTTTTAATCCTGATATATTTAATTGACATGTATATATAATGATTGTTATTTTAATTCATAAAAGCGTGAGATCCGTATTGAGTCAATAAACTGGGAGATGACATTATTTATATGGTAAAAATTAATTATTAAAGGAAACCACGTACTGGTATTTAAATGAATTGATGATGTCCTCTTGAAGAAGTTCATAAGTTTTATCCATGTCAAACCCTGCAGGCGGATTTAATTATTCAACATGACAAATAAGGTGAGTGGTAAGATCTTAAAGATAAAAAGAAGTCAATTATATGTAATTGTCAATAATTTAATTAATTGATGGACATTTGTAATTTTAAACGTGGGAAGATTATTAAGCATATGATAATGAGAAGCTCGAAATATTATTTAAGTTTTTAATAGTTAAAAGTTATTTTTTTAATAAAAAAATTCTTGGTCGTATCCTAGATGTATCCTAGTTGTGTCCTAGACGTATCCTTGTCATGTCCTAGATGTATCCTGGCAGTGTTCGACTGAGTTCACTATTCAGGACACTTCTAGTCGTGTCGGACATGTATTCAGCCGTGTCCTGGCCGTATCTGTGTCGGACACGTGTTCGATACTGCCACGACACTCCCATTAGAAGTATCCGCGCTTCCTAGAAGAGCACTAATATACCATGGATAAGTTTATTAGAGAATTAATAGGAAACATAGGAATCCTACAATATTTAAATAGTCATGGGGTGCCTTATTATATCTTTATCTTATCAATTTCTCACCCTATAAATGGTGTTGAGTACAACATATTTAGTTACTAGATTGTCACAGGATAAAGCATCAATATGTATCTTTGGTTCGTGGATATAAGTATAGTGTACCAATGTAAGTACGTTGTTTTGAACCACATATATTTTTTGGTTATGTTTTATTATTTTTCCTATTCCTATCTACTAACTAGTGGTATCAATATTGAGTAATTGTTGTGCAAAGCTAACAAGTGGTGTCAGGGCACGCTGTTAACAATCCCATGTCAACTTGATCAGAGCTAGATTGACGACTTTGAATTGTAAGAGCTCAATTAACGATCCTAGATCAACCTAATCAGAGCAAATTGTTGACAATTATGGGTCAACTTTATCAGATCAGATTGATGATCATAGAGCAACTATCAGAGTAGAAATATAAGTGATTCTTGTTAAGCAACAAGACTTGTTTTTGTTCTGTCATCTTCTTCATGCCTTTTGGAAGTACCCGCCATTAAGATTCTTGGTGTTCAAGACTTTTTGATTGCAGTAAACAATCAAAAAGGAGAGCTCCTCTAGCCACGTGTGTACAACATCGTGCAAAGATTGATGTCGTCCTGCATACATTAAGGAAGTAATCTTAGAATTTTTTGATGAAATGTATGGACTCCGGACGAATATCATCAAAACATTGACTGATGAATTATTGTAGAACTCAAGCAATGTAGTGTACCAATTTTGAAGATGGTTCATCAAGAATTTGGGCTATTAGAGTTGTAACCATGTTAAGACAATAGTTTGGGAGATATTGGGTTGTATTCCACTCAGTATTGATTTGGTGTCTCGTAGGTTTACGGGTTACAAGACTTTACTTTGACAGATCGGTGAAGTAGTTGACCACCGAGTCCTCCCAAGAATAGGTAAGATGTGGGCCGAGACACATAGAATATGTGGGCTACGACGAAGACTCTTGAAAGATAGACAACATTGTGGTAGACTCATAAGGGAGGATTTGCATGTGGTCCTTGAAGAGAGTAAGTGAATTGATCTCAAGATCAAGGGGGAGCTACACTTGATATGCGGGAGTATGTTGAGTACACAAATGAGGGAGTATGTTAAGTAACTACATGTGAAACCATAAATCAAAGAGAAAAAGAATTGATGGAGTACTAATATACCGCGGATTGATTTATTAGTGACCTGATATAAAATGTAGAGATCCGAGAGTGTTTGAATAGTCATTAGTCATGAGTGACTGTTTTATCTTTATCTTATCAATTCTTTACTCTATAAATGAGGGTGAATACACTATAATCAATTACCAGATTGGCAGATAAAAAAGCACCGATATAGCTTTTTGGTCTATGGTATACTGATGCAATGTTAGAACGACAGTCCTAAGATCCGTTGATGGCGCGTATAATTGATTACAAAAAAATTTACTCGTTTATTAACCCTACAAAACAGAATTAGGGTTTACCTTTGACGAGCAGATCCGCACGAATGAAGAACATATGTAGATCGAACAGTAGGCTCGATGAACCTCACGATCTTCTATCGTATATATTTCCATGCCAAAAATCCAAATGCAATGTGGGCTGTAATTTTCCAAATTCTCTCATTTGTTCTCTCTCTGTCTTTTCTGAAGTGAAAGTAAAGGTTATGGTTGAGAGAACTAGCGAGTGCATTTACTTATAGGCAACAATAGAGATCTTAAGGAAAAATAAGGGTCAGGTTTCCAACGGGCCTGGGAATTCTATATTCAATTCAGAACAAACATCCTATGATCCATTAATAATAAGTTAATCCACTAAAAATTTATGCTTTATTTTTAATATATTACAACTCTATTATTATTTAAAAAATATATTATTTTAATAGTCGTATCTTTGTTGTACCCGTCTCCCATATTTTTTAACTTTGTTGTATCTCTGTGTCCGTATCGTATCAAATACGACACCCGTGTCCGTATCTGTGCTTCTTAGGTGCTCTTTCAATTCTTTTCCTTTTTTATTTTGGGTTCTCACAAATAACTACCCAACAGTTTGGAATGCGTCATTGGGTAGTTGAATTGAAATAACCAATTTTTCCATTTTGACCCTTCATTTTCATTATAATATCATTTAGGAGTATAGAAAATATGCATTTTAAATAGGCAAACCTCCCATATAGGATACATGCCTAAGGTGAGATTGAGTCCACAAATATTAGTTAAAAAGTTAAAAATGGCCCTCCGACATCCTAGTTGTATCTCTCTCTCTCACTGTTGGTCTCTGCCAACAAAGATCTGCAAAGCCCCATCCACCACCATCATTAACAGCCCCCTCCCCACTAGGTTTGGGTTCCGAGTCCGACGGAGTTGGAGAGCACACATCTGACCCTGACTTCAGTCGTAGTGCATTTGTAGCTCTTATTCTGACTTCGAACTATTATAATTTCGTCTCTGAAAATTGTCACAATCCAAAAAAGTAAAAAAAAAAAATCAGAAATTTTGTCAAATGTTTTTCACAATATATATGGCAGCAGCGGAAAGGAGCATAGAAGCAAAGATATAAGACTTACTAAAAGATTCAAATTTACTACAAGTACAATTAATTGAAAATTAACTTACAAATATATGACTGCTGAAAGATCTTACTTTTCATCATAAGAAAACTATATTACAATAACTTGAGAACTGGGGATAGGGAGTGTATTGAGAGAACTTTGTGTTGGCAATTTCTTTTTGCCTCCCTCTTTACTGAATTCTTCAATCCTTATATAGGCTTGATGATATGAATTCTGAATAATTTTTGGGGCCCAGAGCCATGTGTTGTTGTCTTTCTTCTAACTAAAAGCAGAGTTGCATGTGACTTGAATACTACTTGTCTGTTGAATGATTACTGCTTTTACTTTGCCTTTCGGTGGAATTACTTGGGTGAAGGCTGACTTTTGTGTAGGACGAGTTGATAACTGGATCCTGGCTACTGATTGATTCCATCTTTTGGTGGAAAAGGCTGAATGATTCTCCTTTCGGTGAAAAATGAGTTTTGGTTACTGAAATGATTCTCCAGGTGTGCTAGAGACAACTTTTCTTTCTTTTGAGGAAGAAAGTAGTGATTGAAGCCTTTATGCACTTGGGAGTTGGAATCACGGACTGGACAAGTCATAGGCATCATCAGAATTTTGAGCATCCTAAATTGGATCCAATGACTGGCTTACTGAGGCAGAGGAGTCATCATCATCTTGACTAGCTTGCTGGAGTAGTTTTTGGGCAAGCTCGATTAATTGTGATTTATTCTTCTGTGGTTTATTGGAAGTCTTTGGTGAAGACTTGGTTTGTTTTTTTGGTGGTGCTGAGGCACTCGGAGTAGAGACCTTGAGCGCTGGAGCTGCTGCATTTACCATTGGTGGTGTATGAGTAGTTGGATCTGTAATTTTAATTGGAATAGGAACTTTTGCTGGAAATTCAGTTTTACCCTGGGCAATGATACGTTGGTGGTCAATCTTAGCCCATCATTTGACATAGAATTCCCTGGTAACTGTGTTTGCATCAATGGAGTACTGCCATTTTAGAATCTGCGGAATCTTATACGTACTGATGAAAAGGAGTAATGTAGAAAACTGTGAATCATGTTAACTAATTTTAAAACATTGTCGTTGTCACCACACCCATGAGGATCTTGTTGTTGGAGACCTTTGACTAGCGCACCCCTTGCTACTTGTAATGAGCTAGGTGACCCGAGCTCAACCTTAGCCAATTTACTGGTATCATCTATATATATATATATGTGCTTATTAGTGCCTGATGACACACTATAATAAAAAAAATTATCAATAATAAACATATTTGTTGTATTCACACAAAATTAAATCATAAATATAGAGAAGAGAAAGGAATTTAAGCATCAGTTGTAGTGGTAGTGGGCGACAGTAGTGGTGGTGGGAGACGGTGATGGTTATGGTGGATAGCGATGACAGTGGTGGTGGCAATCTTGAGTGGCAACTATAACGGTGATGGCGAGTTTTGGGTAACAATTGTTATAGTGGCAGCTCCGGGTGACGGTGACGGTGTTGGTGATGGTGGCCGACGGTGATGGTGGTTGATAGTGGTGGTGGGGTGACGACGGTGGTGATGGTGGTGGTGGATGGTGATGATGGTTTTGGTGGGTGTGAGTGATGGTGGGCGACGACGGGTGCTTGTGGGCTACGATGGTGATGGATGGTAACGAATGACTGTGGGGGTGGGGGTGGAGGTGTGGTGGAGGTGTGGTGACAGTGGGTGGCAGCGATGATAGACAACAATGGGTGGTGGGTTGTGGTAGTGGGTGGTGGTGGGTGGTGGTGGCGGTGGGTGACAGTGGTGGTGGGATGATGGTGATAGTGGTAACAAATATAAAAATAAGATGATGGTGGTGCGTGGTGGCAGTGGGCGACAATAGTAACAATCGGTGGTGGGTGACGATGGTGGTGGTGGTGAGTTCGGTAGAGGAGGTGGTGGTAGTGGTGGGGTGGTGTGGGTGGTGGTAGTGGTGGGGCGTTGGTGGCAGTGGTTGTGGCGAGGCGGTGGTAGTGGCAGAGGTGGTGGTTGGGTGGTGGTGGGACAGTGGTGGTGGTAGGGTGGCAGCGATAGTGGTTATTGTGGCAGTGGTGGTGGCGTGGCGGTGGTGGTGGTGGGGTGGTTCCAAATATAATTTTATTTTTTAAAGTGCTTATGAGAAGTTATAAGTTTTAGAATTATTTTTGAAAAGTCATCCCAAATACACTTTAGGGGGCCTATTTTCTCTATTAAATTTGAAGAGTTAATATTAGCCGTCAAATTAATTTTAAATTAAAATTTAAAACGATCTCAACTTCAAAAAGTAAATATTATTTTGTTTATCTTTTGAGATTTGAATTGTCTTTTTTTTTTTTTTTTAATTTAAGGGAAAGGGGAAGGGGAAGGGGAAGGGGAAGGAAGAGGGGGACTTGAACTCTTGACCTTAAGAAGGCAAAACCTTTACAAGACAAGAAATACCATTGGACCAAAGACCCATTGGTAAGATTTGAATTGTCTTGTACTTTATTATGTAGATATATAAACATAGAGAGAGAGTTAACGCCTGAGCTTCAATCGAAGATTTGAGAGAGCTTCAACCAGAGATCTGAGAGAGCTTCAATCAGAGATCTGAGAGAGCTTTGCCAGTGCTAGCTTGTTGAGATCTGAGATTTGCTCATCGACTGTAGAGAGATGAAGGGCTGTCATTGACTCAACTGTGTGTGTGAGAGAGAGAGTCAGAGAGAGAATCCTTGTCGTCTGAGAGAGGGAGAGAGAGAGAAAGGAAAATAAATGTGGCCATGTGGGGGTGGGCTGGACAGTGGGCTTAGATAGAGACGGTTTTTAGAGACAAACAAAGATAATGTTTTTAGATTTAAATAGTATATAAGTTATATAAAATTATTATTTAATAAAAAAAGGAGTCGGGGAGTTTTTTTGAAAAGGATCTATGGGTTTTATTCGACTCCGACTTTGATAAACTCTCCGGCGGAAGCAGAGGCACAGGGGGAGGTGGAGGCAGAGGCGGAATTTCGGATTCTCGCACACCGTTACTCCTTACCCATCATCATCAATAACACCCCTCTTTACCAAACCCGCTTCAAACCTAGGGCAAATAAAACTAAAAGGAGCAATTACAAATGGATTTACAGAAGCTTGCACAATCTAGGAAGAATGGTGAAGGCGAGAACCAGTCACACATGCAGAACGAGTGACGTTGGCAATGGCAGAAGTGACTATAAGGGTTGACTGCTTCCCTGATTTTGATTTCGATTCATCTGCTATTTTTATTCTGTTCTATTTGGTTTGCAATATGGTGCGGTTCCATTTCAATTAGATTTCGTTTGATTTGTTTTAGATGGAATTTGATCTGCAGTGGATTGAATTCGATTTCCAGCGGGTTGATTTTATTTTGGTTCAATTCTCTTTCTAGCTGTTTCATTTTTCAAGTTTTGATTTTAGATGTTTAAAAATTGTCGTGATATGTGGAGAGTGGGGATTTGCTGGCAGAATTAAAAACTGATATTGTGAAAGACTCTTGGTTAGCTTTCACTCAGCTGCATTTGGATAAATATTATTTTTAAAAAAATAATATGTATTGGTCAGAAATTCTAATAGTTTGATGAATGCAAGTGAGGATGAGATCTGCACAGGAGCATATTTTGATATGCACGGGATGATTATTTTTTGTTTTGCCAAATTTTGAGAAGCTGAGGCGGGTGCTGCCGGAGAAGAAGAGGGGTTATCGGTTTTCCCCTTATCGGCGTTAATTATGCTTTTTAGTCCACAAACTACATGAAGTTTATGTGGCTTTTTTGAAGGCGAGGGAGGTGATCTGCAAAAGGATCTAACCACAAGGTGTTGTAGTCCATAATCATGTCGATTTGAGCACCGAACTATGTCCAAATCTATTAGTATGGGACCAGGGCTTGGACAAAACTGGCTATTTTCAGGAGAAAAGGGTCCCGTAGTCCCAGTTGGCTGGCTTGAAGCTTCGACATGACTTTATTTCCCTTGCGGAAGACTATGCACTATACGTGGAAAATTGTATTTTAGAGATTTGTTTACCAAAGTCTTCTACCAGATTTGGTATATAGGAATTTTTTGTTTTGTTGTGGCAAACCCTTTAATTCTTGGTTGTTATGATTGTGTACAGTGAGCCAAAAGTCGCATTCAAAATTCTGGAAACTTGCAGGAAAATTAGGTATGTAACAGGTTAATAGCTACTTCATGTGCATATCCACATTAAATATTGTTTGATATCTTTCCTTAAGTTCATTTGATTGCAGTGCCAGAAATCAAGCACATCCAAGCGATAAAAGTGAGACAATATCCAGCAGTTCGACTTGTGAGACTCCTTTGCATGGAAATTGTGAAGTTGGATTACTCAAAAGCTGCATCAATATTTAGAGATGCACTGGAAGTTGCAGCAATTACTGGGGTTCGTGAAGTTGTTGAAGAGATTTTATGTTCGTGTCCTGGTGCAATTTATCTTAAATATGATCTTGACCGGTCGATTTTCCATCTTGCAATTGCGAATCGTCGTGCAAATATTTTCAATCTGATTTATCAATTCAATGAATTTAGCAACCTATTGATCTCCAGAGTAGATAAGTCAAAGAATAATTGTCTACATTTGGCTGGAATTTTGGAAAGTCAACAGAAACTGAATCTCAGAGATCATGCCGCAGGTGCAGCTTTTCAGATGCAGCTTGAATTACAGTGGTTTAAGGTAACAATGAATCTCTTCTATACTAGGAAAATAATATATTTCATGTCGTTTCCATTGTGCTTAAGCAAGAATTGCCCTACTTGGCGTAGCTTGGTTAACAACACCAGGTAGATGTGATTGTTGAACAATACACCTTAGTGGTTGGTGTCTATCCTCCTATGCTGATATGCTAAGACTCAGGTTACTGGATAATAAGAGCAGATGAAAAGTTAGAGAGAAGCTTTATCCTCTCACAACACTAGGAGCAGGATTTGAATATTTGATCTAATCCACGCTCAATACTAAGAATAGGTACTAGGATTCTCAGGTAAAGTAATCTGGAATCCCAACATCATTACTAAAGTAGATAAGAGCTTACAGGCTTCATTCAACATGTCCTTAATATGTATCTTCAAGGCTTCAGATCTTCGTTGTCCTGAAACTCGCATAGTAGATTCATATTAACAAATCCATCATACAAATTTAGGTAGTATCTTAAATCACTTATGGCTCATGCTTCTGTTCCTCTTAGCATAAATATCGAACGTCAGCTAGTTCATATCTCCATAGCAATGAAAACAAACATATTATATTGATGTAGGCAAGGTAAATAAACTTAAACTTTGACAAAACAATACCATCTAGTGCATTTAACACTTGCCTATGACTTCAAACCAATTGATTCACATATTTTCAAAACATAGTTAACATCATTCGAGGTGGGTTTAAACAAGTATGACACCACTCTTTGTGAACAGGGTTTTATTAAATGATAGCATATGATGAACTTAATCCATATACTTTTAATGGCCTAAGATACTACACATAATTCTAAAAATAACCTTCCTCTTATTGACTTTGCATGAAGACACAGAGTACACACACACACACACACACACATGCACATACACTTTTTGCATGAAAACTACAAACGCACTGAGTTTATTACAATCACAATGCACATGCTGCAAGCAGTTAGATTAATTGAGTTCTTCTGCCTTCAGAAACATGTATATGGTTGAAGTAATTAGTAATGTTTCTCTATATATTGTGTGTCTCAGTTGGACTAAGTTGTTATAATACTGAATTTCAATGACAAATCCTTATATATGAGTTCATTATCTGATTGCAACAATTCTCCTTCCAATCTCACAACAACCACTACTTTTTGTGCCATCACAAATCAACAGTCAATCCAACCACTCCAGATCTCCTCAGCTATGACTCCACCAACAAAAAAACCATCACACCCCACCTTTTTTCGTGGATGTTTATAAAAAACCTAGCCATAAAAAATAACAAATTAAATCATAGACAATCACATGTATGACGTTGACTTTTTCTCGGAGACAAATGTCAGATTTTAAGATTCAAATCTTATCAAAACCTTCACATTTCTGTCTTTCAATCAATACATCACTCTAGTGAGACCAATCTAAGCCCAACAGAATAGCCAACTAATTAATAAAAGTTGAGATCGAGGTCAGTGTTAGAGTAATCTAGTATATTAGCATTAGGGGTAGATTAGTCATTTATATTACTATGTTTCGCCCTAGTATAAATTCGTTGTAAAACAGACGTGGTGATAATTCAATCAATATATTTTTCTTTCTTTGATAAACATTAACTTGGTATCAGAGCCTTAATCCCTAATTCCAAAAGAAGAGTCCTAATCACCGGTAGAGAGGATAGATTTATGTGCCCTAATCAACTGTGAAGTATACTTGAACAGAAGTAAGGAGAGAGAGTACGTCTCTAAGATGCCGTCGGAGACGTGAGAGGGATGCCTGAAAGTGTGCCGTCCGTCAGAGTCCAGGAGAGAGAAAGTACGTCTGAACGAGCCTTTCTTGCTTCTACTGTGAACGACTGAACGAGTCGCGAATAGTGAATGTTTCTACTGACTAAACAACTGTGATCGACTGGTTTCTTGCTTCTACCGAATGTTCTCTTCTTGCTTCTACCGACTGAACAAATGTGATCGACTGGTTTCTTGCTTCTACCGACTGCCCTCTGGTTTCTTGCCCTCTGGTAAGTTTGTGGTCTGTTTTGAGGATTGCTTGTGATCGGCTGATTGATTATTGCTTCTACTGTGCATTGGTTCTTGTTTTTGTTTTCTTTTGGTCGGCTGGTTTTGCTGGTTGCTTGATTTTGTTGCTGGGTTGCCGTGTTTATTGTAGTTTTTTTTGCTTTACTTTGCTGAGACTTATTTTACTGAAACTTCTTGATAACATTATGGCAAGTGGACATCGGATTCTCTCCAAGCTATTAGTATCAAATTAAATGGTGAAAATTATGTATATTGGTCTTATGTTATGAAGAATTTTCTGTTGGGAAAAGAGATGAGGAGTTATGTTAATGGTGCTTTGCAAGCTCCAATAGATTCGAAGGCAGAGAGATATGTTGAATTAAAGAATATCTGGGAAGTCAACAATGCTAAAATTATCACTTGGATTAACAACTCAATTGATCAGACCATTGGTGTGCATTTGGCTAAGTTTAACACAGCCAAACAAATTTGGGATTATTTAGCTACATTGTTTGTTCAGTCCAATTTTGTAATGAGATATCAGCTTGAGCATGAAATTCGAGCTGCACGTCAGGGTGATAAGACCATATAGGAGTTCTACTCGGTTATGACTGGATTTTGGGATCAGTTAGCACTTGCTGAGCCAGCTGAATTGAGTACTCATATGGTATATCATATATTTAGGGAGGAACAACGATTGGTACAGTTTTTGATGGCTCTTACAGTCGATGCAATAGTGAATGAGCTTCTGGCTGAAGAAGTCCGTCTTAAGACTCTTTTTGGAAAGGGTCTTCTTCCATTGCCTAATCAGACTGTACTAGTTGTACCACCCAGAGGGAGTCCTCATTCACAGACTAAATATCGGGGTCGAGCTACTTCATATGAGTGTAGTTTTTGTCATGAGAAGGGTCACTAGAAGGCTCAATGTCCTAAATTAGTGAACAAGAATGCCAAAGGGACCTTACAGTAGCCATTTAGGCCCAAAGATTGTCATACAGCCGCAGTTACTTCACCAGTGGATGAGACATTTCCATCAGCTCCCAGTATGACTATGATAGCTGATCAGTTGCAGAAGCTTCTTTCCATCAACCAGGTGTCCTATCAGTTTCTCCTTCCACAGGTTCATTTACTGCAGGACCTTCAAGTATCTCTCGAATTGCCTGGGTCTTTGACTCAGGAGCCACCCATTATATGACTAGTAATCCTTCCTTATTTGTTTCTATTGTTTCCCCTCCCTCTATATCTGTCCTTGCAGCCAATGGCACCCAAATGTCTTTGGCTGATGTTGGAACCATCTTTTCTTCCCTGCTTACACTCTTGATGTTTACTATATTACTCAACTTACTTTAAACTTAATATTTGTTAGTCAGTTGTTTGATTCGGGGTTCTTAGTTCATTTTTCTTCTACTAGTTGTGTTGTGCAGGATCCATGGTCCAAGAAGCTGATTGAGACAGGCTATAGAAATGGAGGGCTATATGTGTTGGATGAATTTCATGTCCTTGAAGTTGTTGCATCTACTGTTGATTTATCTTCTTTTCAATTGAGACCAAAATCGTATAGTTTTTATTTATGGCATTCTCGTTTAGGTCATGTTTCTCATTCTCGTTTAAACTTTTTAGCTTCTACTGGTAGTTTGGAGTTTAGAGTGTCATGATATTTTAGATTGTAGTGGCTGCAAGTTGGCTAAATTTACTGCATTACCTTTCAATAAAAGTAATTCTCGTTCCCTTACACCTTTTGATCCTGTACATTATGATATTTGGAGACCAGCTCCTATTCCTACTAAATGAGGGTCTAGATATTATGTTTCTTTTATTGATGATCATATCAGATATTGTTGGGTGTATCTAATGACGCGTAGGTCTGAATTTTTTTCCATTTTCTCTACCTTTCGTGCTATGGTGCGTACTCAATATTCTTCTATCATCAAATGTTTTTGCTGTGATCAAGGTGGAGAATATTCTTTTAGTGCTTTTTGTGATTTGTTGAAATCTGATGGTATTGTTTTTCAGTCTTCTTGTATAGACACATCTGCTCAGAATGGAGTGGCAGAACAAAAGCATCATCACATTATTGAGACAGCTCGTTCTCTGTTGTTGTCATCCAGTGTCCCTAGCTCTTTTTGGGGAGAAGCAGTTGTTACAACAGTTCATTTTATTAATTGCATTCCTACAATCCTCAATTCTGGTGTCTCACCTTTTGAAAAACTATGTGGTAAAATACCTGACTATTTCTCCTTACGTGTGTTTGGATGTACATGTTTTGTTCTACTACGTAGTGTTAATCGTACAAAACTTTCAGCTTGTTTAGCCTTATATGTTTTTCTTGGTTACGGTGAGAGACAAAAGGGATTTCGGTGTTATGATCCTAGTACACAGAAACTCTATGTTTCTCGTCATGTTGTTTTTATGGAACATATTATTTTTTTCTCTATTTCATCTAGTTCTTCGTCTCTGCATAAATTTGATCTTATCTATCTTGATCCCTTTTCCTCTAATGTTTCTCTTGATTCCTATGTTGGTGATATGACTGTGGCTGATCTTCCCTCTTCTTCTTCTTCTTCTTCTTCTTTTTTGCTTGATTTGTCTGGTACCCGTCCCCCGATGGTGCATACTCATGTTCGCAGGACTCCCACTGTATCCTCTACAGATGTTGTGCCTTCATCTGCACCTCTTGGCTCCCAATCAATTTCTGAAACCGTGGATCACACTCCCCGTTACCTTCAGCGCACTCGGAAGTGTCTTGATTGGTTTGGTTGGTCCAACTCTTGCTATTCCTCTGCTTTTTGTTCTTTCCTGACTTCTATACATTCTTTGTCTGAACCAACCTCCTATAAGGAAGCTATACTTGATCCTCTTTGGCAACAGGTTATGGATGAGGAGCTTTCTGCGTTACATAAGACTCGAGCTTGGGAATTGATGTCTTTACCTCCTGGTAAACGCTCCATTGGTTGTAAGTGGGTTTATAAAATTAAAACTCAATCTGATGGTTCTGTGGAAATGTACAAGGCTAGATTAGTGGCCAAGGGTTTTGCTCAAGAGTATGGGCTTGACTATGATGAGACTTTTGCTCCAGTGGCTAAGATGACCACTATTCGCACAATAATTGCTGTGGCAGCTGTTCGTCAGTGGAGCCTATCCCAGATGGATGTGAAAAATGCTTTCCTTCATGGTGATTTGTCTGAAGAGGTCTATATGACTCCTCCTCCTAAGTTGCCTTGTAGTCCTGGTCATGTGTATAAATTTCACAAGGCTTTATATGGTCTTAAACAGGGCCCCAGGGCTTGGTTTGCAAAATTTTCTTCAGTCATATGTGACTTAGGCTTCTGTGGTAGTGATCATGATTCTGCTCTCTTCTTTCGATCCACTTCTTCTGGTTTCATACTTCTATTACTTTATGTGGATGACATGATTATTACAGGTGATGACAATGCTGGAATTCAGTTGTTAAAAACTCAGTTACAGGACTATTTTGAGATGAAAGATTTGGGTCTACTTCGATATTTCTTAGGGATTGAGGTTGTTTCCTCTCCCAGGGGTTATCTTCTTTCTCAGTCAAAATATGCCTCAGATTTTATTCAAGGAGCTTGCTTATCGGATACTCGAACTGTTGACCCACCCTTGGAGCTTAATGTTCGTTATACTTCCTCTGATGGTTCTCTTCTGCCTGATCCTACCTTATATCGTACTATTGTTGGGAGTTTGGTGTATCTTACTGTTACTTATCTAGATATTGCTTATGCGGTTTATATGGTTAGTCAGTTTGTTACTGCTCCTACCACACTTCACTGGTCTGCTGTTCTTCAGATTCTTCGATATCTACGGGGTACGTTACATCAGAGTTTGTTATTTTCTTCTTCTTCGTCTCTGGAGGTCCGTGCTTACTCTGATGCGGATTGGGCTGGTGACTCTATGGATCGTAAATCCACCACTGACTTTTGTCTCTTTCTTGGTGATTCTCTTATTTCCTATAAAAGCAAGAAACAAACTGTTGTAGCTCGCTCTTCTGCTGAAGCTGAATATCGTGCTATGACATCTTCCACAGCAGAGATAGTTTGGTTGCGTTGGTTGCTTGGTGATCTTGGCATTTCATTGACTACTTCTACTCCTATGTATTGTGATAATACCAGTGCTATTCAGATTGCTCACAACTTGGTGTTTCATGAGCGCACCAAACATATAGAGATTGATTGTCACTTTGTGCGCCATCATCTTCAGCTGGGCACAATCTCTCTTCCATATCTTCCTTCTACTATGCAGTTGGCTGATTTCTTCACCAAATCTCACATTATCGCACGCTTTCGTTTTCACCTTGGCAAACTTTTGATGTTGGATGCTATCACATCATGAGTTTGAGGGGGGATGTTAGAGTAATCTAGTATATTAGCATTAGGGGTAGATTAGTCATTTATATTACTATGTTTTGCCCTAGTATAAATTCGTTGTAATACAGACCTGGTGATAATTCAATCAATATATTTTTCTCTTTCTTTGATAAAACGTTAACTGCCAGAACCACTAGACCACAAGTACGAATGCATTTATTCCAGACTCTCTCCCTCTCCCTATAGCTAACTACCTTTCTCTAGTCATCTACTTTTGTGGAATCCCGGCCACATCCACCAATTTTTCGGTTTGAGAGTTTCCAAGAGATCGAGACCCAATTTTGTATTAGAAATAACTTTGTACATTTTGAGCCTTCCATTTCAATATCAAATCAAAGCCAGTGAGCTCAAACATCACAACTCAAGGAAAAAAACACCACCATTATTTTGTTGTGTGTTGTTGTATATCCTTGTGTATGCGCGGGGAGGTGGGGTGGGGGTGAGAGGAAGAAGGTGTTTGGATATGGGCTATTTTGTTTCAATTCTAAGTTTTGGATTTGGAGTTAATGTATTTTAAATGAAGAAACTGACATTTTTTGATGAATTTTGATGATGCAAGCCATTTTTGCTAACATCACTAATGTTTGTTCCATGGAGAGGGTCTTCTTGTTAAATCTTTGAAATGTTTGGAGTGTCAACATGATAAATCTAAATGTATAAGGAAGTGTCATTGCAATTTATTTTGTTAAATTCTATGAGACGTTTTATTTGCGTATCATTTAACTATTAATTAATGGAATGATGATACCTACAGAAGAAATGTTGCCTTGGATATTTATAAAGAATTACTCAATGCATTGCAAACTTGCTTTCTAATCAAAAATCACCAATTCTGTAGGAAGTAAAAAATTTTACACTGGTTCCAAATCGAGAACAGAAAAATAACGAGAAGAAGACACCAAGGATGGTATTTACAGAGACGCACCAGGAGTTAGTTAAAGAAGGAGAGCAATGGATGAAAGACACATCAAATTCATGCACAATTGTAGCGGCATTAATTGTTACAGTTGTGTTCGCGGCTGCCATTACTGTACCAGGTGGAAACAATGGTGCTGGCCTTCCAATTTTCTCCCAAGAAAAAACCTTCACAGTGTTTGCCATATCGGATGCGCTTGCCCTTTTCTCATCAAGTTCCTCTGTGTTAATGTTCTTATCCATCCTCACTTCCCGTTATGCAGAAGATGACTTTCTCTATGCGCTACCCAAGAGATTGATTATAGGTCTTGTGACCCTATTTCTTGCCATAATATTTATGATGGTAGCCTTTGGAGCAACACTTTATATTGTTTTTGGAGATAAAAAAGCATGGGTTCTTCATCTCGTGGCTGTGTTGGCAAGTCTACCTGTGCTCTTGTTTGCATCCTTGCAATTTCCCCTCCTTGTAAAGATGATTAAATCCACATATTGCCCTGGCATTTTTGGTAAGAAAAGTGATCGTATCATTTTCTAGGCTATGCACTTTCATTGGTGCAAAATTAAGTACCTCAAATATGTATCGTTCATTATCCATGAGTGATGAATGATTTAGCTTTTTTCTTTTGGAGAGTAAATCTGTGTATCACTTATATAATGCAAACAAGGTTTGAAAATGCATGGTCAGCTAATTTTGTTGTTTTAACTGTTCAAGTGGAAATTAGTTGGTATTCTTATGTTTTAAGTGCTCGTTTATTATTATTCTGTCACAGTTGGTGGCTTTAAAGTTTTTAACTGCTCGTTTACTATACATACTTTTGTTATTGTAAAACTTTAGTGGGAAGCAAATGTACCAGTTATGTACTTCGGGGTATACTGTTCATGGTGCAAACAAAAGAAGATGAAAAGGCACCTTATCACTGGACCAGTCTTTTTTTGCTTGTCCATCATGTTTAAACACCAAAGATAATGTGCATGCAGCTTATTATAGAATTGTTGAATTCTGAAAGCAAAGGGACTAACCAAATTTTTGAGTAGTGTGATCGAGAACTGTTGGAATTAGAGGTCAATTAAACTTGTGGATACAATGCAAATTCGAGTTAAAAACAATCACCGTAGGCTACATGAATTGAAAATTTTAGATTCTCTTGCAACGGTAGAAATGGCCGAAAATCCGTATTTGAGTAACATAAAGAGATACGCTGATGGGTTGAAAACATATGTAAGTGTGGAGACGAAAGCTACTAATTCCTGCACCTCTGGCATGCTATGCGAGCATTCCACCACCTGAATTGCATCCCCACAATATAATTTCTTTTGATAAACAATTGATTCTAGCCAATCCTCATACATAAATCCACAGATGATTTCAAATCAAAATTTGGTAAAAAGTTTGGTTGCCAAGTTTTTTGGCCTCTTTAAGTCGCATCTTGAAGAAAGTAAGCCTGTCTTTAAGTGATTGGGGTCAGGTCAATAATATCTATGATATTACCCTATTGATTTAAGCCTCCTCGTGATCTTGAATACTGGTGGGATTTGATCGTGGTCAAAAAAATCATCTGTTAGTAGTACTTTTTGGTAAGCAAAGTGGTGGGTATCTTGCATCGACACAAACAATGGTGAAACTTTAAGCTCCCCAAATCTGTAACATTCATAATCCAAGATTGAATGGTTGAGATGTCTTTTTTGTTTAGAGCAGTGTATTTTTGGAGTAACTCTATGTGCACTAATTGATTGTCGGTTATTGAGGTACGGTGGATCCCACTAATCTTAACCACTAATAATCCTTTGACTGTAAAAATTTGGTGCATATAGTATTTTTAATATTTCTGTCTATTTAACACTTGGATAGTGCCAATGGCTGTCAGAAATGCCTGGTCAACAAGTTTGATTTAATTGTTTTATCTACGCTTTACTACTGTTGTTTTCAACTACTCCCAAGACTAGAAGCAAATGCATGAGTACTGCACTTAAACCAATGATTTTCATGCGACAAACAAATGACGATTGATAATTGACTTACCTTCCGAAAGAAAATTAATAAATGAGCCCTCCCCAAAAGACTTTCTAATTCGGACGACCAGATTCAACAACAAATTGGATCAAGTTTTGTCATCCTTCGAGGCAAGTTGAGATTCATATTGTTCAGATCAGATGATACCCCTATATTTGTGAACGTCATTGAGATATTCGTCTTAACACTAAATATAACGTGCATGAAGTAGACATATTAATTTTTTTGACAGAGGAAAATTTATTGGGAAAAAAAGATTTAATAATTATATAATCCCAATATGGAAAACAAAGGAAATAACAAAATTTTGGGATTTTATCATGACCTTATGCCTTTTTTGGAGATTGATAATTATTCCAATCAAAATTATTTGGGTTCTGTTTGGACCAAAAATATAAATCTCCACCTTATGACCTTACACCTAACATCCCCAGATTTACTAAAGAAGTGCCACATGACAAAATTTGAAAAAAAGTGGAAGATGATCCATTACAGGCACATTTGAAAAGAATCAAGTAACTAATTGAGATTTACCATTATATAACCGTCGAGGGATGCAAAACTCCCGAAAAAGATGGTTATAAAAAAAAAATTCAATGAAGGAAAGAGGAAATGTTCAAACCCCCCAAAAGACTCATGATTAGGGTATCATTGGAAGTAATTTTTATACTAGTTTAGGAGCAGCTAGTACTGTAATCAAAGATATTTTATTCAGTCTCTTGTAACCAAAGTCCTTTCGATTAGATTAATAAAAAAAATATTTTTTATTAGTTCCCTATTTTAATTTCACCTTTGCATAGTAAGAATCTCTATTGTTTTCATCCAAGGAAGCCCTGAAGGTATTTGAACTCATTCCAAAAAATAGCTTAAAAATTGTCTGTCGATCCCAGTAGATTTTGGAGCAATAATCTTTTGGCATGCCCAATGGGATAACGTTACTAACTTGGATAAAAAAAATGGTGCGAACAAGGAAATAAGACGAAATCGTATCTGGCATGGAACTAAATAAAACTATGCAAATGATGCCAAACAGGGCCATGAAACAAGTTCAAGTGCCAACCAAATGGAGTATGCAAATTCAAAAATGAACAGTCCAATGGTTAGCATAGTTTGCAAATGTAAGAATTTGTGCCAAACCTGAAAAAGGTATTGCATAATCCTAATTTTGACATAAGACAAGACTTAGTCAATGTCATGCATGAGTTAATGAGTGTCTAGACACCAATGTTTGGGTCAATTAATCAAAAATCAACTACCATCATTAGAAATCAAATGATGGAAGAAGGAAACACTAACCCTATTTCCCATGAAAAACCAAAGGCTACCACCGATGATACCCAACGTAAGACCAGGCCCACCACACCAATATCACTTCAACATGGTATTCAATGGGAACCTGTCGAGATGTCCCTAATTTCTACATAGATAGGAACCCTAGGGGCATACAAAGAGTCGTGAAAGGCATGCCACATCTCCAATAGAAACATTGGAAGAATTTAACCCAAGGCTAGAGGGTAACTTCTTGACTAGTTTGAAAATTTCGAAGGCCACAACAATATAGTCTTTAACAGAAACCAATTGGTTCAAATGATACAATATTTGAATGGTTTTGGCCTTAGACAAACTAAAAGGCTTGTGTTTAGGGAGTCATATCCACCATGGGTTGACTTTGAGGAATTCCCCCGGGGGCGGGGGGGGGGAGAAACACAACATTTGAGTGAGTCGTCGATTGCACCACCTTTGTCGGATTGTGGGTATGTGATGTGTGTGGATGAATGGGGGGTAATCTGTGTGTGTGTGTTGGAGGATGTTGTGCTCAGAGAAATAGATTGTGTATGGGCAAAATATAGAGGGTTTGGGGAGGGGGTGTCTTTCAGTGGTTGTGTGTTCCGTCGAAAAATAGGAGGTTTCGAGAGGGGTGTTTCGGTGGGTGAGTGTGAAATACAAAGGGTGCGCATGTTTGGGGGGCGGTGAGAACAGAGGGTTTGGGGTGCGGGGGTGTGTAGAGATGAGGAGGAAAGATGAGGGGAATGGAGGAAGGGGTGGGGGATCTGTGTGTAACAGAGTAGCAGAGAAATACCTAAGATGATGACAGTAGCAATGGCGTTGGCACTGTGGCAGCGAGGCCGGTGGAGTTGGAGTGTGGCATCGTTCGCATCAGGGAGTGACATGAGAGAGAATGAGACTGAGATAAGAGTGAAGAGAGAGAGAGGGGGGGGGGGAGAGAAATGGCCACTGCTCTGTGTTTGCCAAGGAGACGATAGGGTTGCGTGGGGGGGGGGGGGGGGGGGGGGGGTTGGAACTTGGAAGTGATGTGTTTAGGGAAAAAATATGTGCAGGTATATATGTATACATACATATATATATACACACACATTTGTACATATATATAGTTTTGTTTTTTGGAAAAAGAATATGAATTTTTGAAAAAGTAAAGGGATTACACATGGTTCTATTTGTGGTGGTACAATAAGGAAAGCAAAAATAGCATACTTGATTACTTGTCTTTTCTTGATTTATAATAATTAGTTGTTGTATACGTAGGTTGCATGATTGAAAATTTTATTTTGTAGATTGATTTGTTGAAGAATGGAACATTTGAATATGTGTCTTAAGATCTACTTTATATATCCAGTAAAAAAGAAAAACTGAAAAAAAAAAAAAAAGACAAAAGAATGTACAATGCAAGTTCAGGACCAAAAGTGCACTTTTGTTCCACCCTGCTAGTGGTCCAATGACCTTTGCTCCACTTTTTAAGTAGGCATATTTTCAATTCTATTGTTGAGGGAATAATGTTAGAAGTTATATAAGCAATCTGGGGAGAGAGCTCTCCTCATTGAATTTCAGCTATTTTTTGGCGAAGGATTTTTCAATGTGTAGCGGGAGTGCTATTTGTTTTTGTTTCATATCCAAGTCGAGCAATAACTAATTCGTGTTACCTACATATCTCTTGATCTTTATCTTATTTATTATCTCTCAAGCATAATATATATTTTGTGTGTTTGAATAAAACACATCATATGAACCCTATTCAAATAAAAGAATCACGCCAAATATCATATTGATGGGTTGCAGAGTGAAGTATATCCCTTACATTGTTACTAAAAGAGTATTAAAACACCCACATGATGACATGAACCATAGATTTATGAATGGTTCAGTGGTTTACAATGTTAAATAATTACTTGAAGCAGTGAGGCCCGGAAGTACCATGATTCATGCAGCCTTGCTATTGACACGAGCAAATGAACATTTGCATACTTGTGCTATAAAATACGGACATACAACCGAAAGAAAAGGGCATAAGCGAATCAATGATGCTTTACAATAATTGTGTTCCTTCAACAGTTCGCAAACCTTAAGAGGATTCAGGAATAAAAACTATTCTTTGGCCTACCAATATCCAAAATGGTACTATGGTTAAGGAAGTTCCATCAATGTGAAATATAGAACTTAACCATAGTACCATTTTTCGGAGTAGCATTAGGAACAAATCCAGATGTCCCAATATCCAGAAAAAATCCAAATATCCCAATAACAAAATTATAAATGATAATAAATTGGGAAAAAAAGTATAAAATAATTGAACAGGTTCATAATTTAGAAAGTTGATTTGGCGATGTTAAAGCAACACACCTCAAAAACATTCCAATCTTTGTTGGAAGCAATCACCCAAAGTGAGTCCCATACATGGTCCTTCTTCAAATATTTCTTTGTGAGATACTCAAGATTCCTGGAAAGTATGAAGAT